GTAATGCCCAGCAGCCTGGTCTTTTGTTCGGAGTACGGTCTTTTGTTACAGGGCCCTGTTTCCTTTGTCCGAGTTCGGAGACCCCGGCCACCCATATAAACCATACGTCTCCAATCCCGGAGTCCCCGGCAGGAAGTGGTTAAAGTGGTTCGCATCTTGCATATTATCCTCTACCTACTCATTCATTGTTCATTGTTTGTGTGTGATATCATGGCTACTTACAGAACTGAAATTACACATCCCCAAAACAAAAACAAATTCAAGTTCATGTAAAAAAAGAATATTTATTTATTTACTCAATGTACTGCTAAAAATGACCTGTGTGGTAATCTCTTAATTGAGCCACTGTACATATTAATGAATTGCTTCAGTCATAATTCAAGAATTAGCACTGAAATACTTGAAGTACTTTCCAAGTATTCACCAACAATGCATGATGGAAATTAGGCACTGTATTATAGTTAGTCAGTCTAGAACATGCCATCCACTAGAATAAATGATCTGACTGTGACCTTTGCCTTGTTGGTTGCCTGTGCAGATTGAGGAGGACACTGTTCGGTTGCAGTCGGAGAAGAGTGAGAAGATCCGGCATCTCCTGGACTCTCAGAAGACTGAGATTGAGAGCTTCGATGCTGAGACCTTGAGCATGGGCTTTGAATCCCTCACTATTGAGAAGATCACTCAGACATATGAAGGCAGGATGCTAGATGGGCCTACAGGCAATGGAGGCAGTTTTCGATACCGATCTAACAGTACTTCCTCTGGTAGCTACAACTCCATGTCATAGAAATTGACACCCGTCCCCACTCTATAAAATACACTACTGCAATGATTAGTCTTGATTCAGGGCTGAATTTGCACCAGGGCTGTGACCTCCATGTCTGGCACAGTATGTCACAGTTTTTAAGTTGATTTATTCCCCCCTTACATTTGTATTTGTAGCATATCTGCTGTTGGTTTTTGATAGATTGTTGATAATTAATTTTGAATTTTACCTGAAGCAAATCAGAATGGTGGTATGGAAACTGCATTATTTATACCTCTAAGCCAGCATGTGTACATGGCTCATGTGTGAAGGAATGTCAGAACTTGGCTCTAATGAACATCATTAAATCAAATTTATGTGGCTTAAATGATGGGAATTACAGCAGCTGTGTGGTGATCATTGGTGGTGTAGATTGCCTAGTTTATTGTGGTCGCATATGGAATGTGCAAAAACATCAGGAGTCAGAGACACTGTAGTCCTTTAGATCAGTTATCAACAATAAGCCTCTTACCAGCAACTTGTGGCCCTTGCAAGCTAAATTGGAATAACAAACGGGAGACACCAACTTGGTTTATATAAAGTTAGTTGAGCATTAGATTCTCCCGATGGTTGCAATGTCACATGATTCAGGACAGGCTTTTCACATAGTTATGTAAAAGATGCTGGTCTTATGAATCATGTGACATAGTGACAGTGCCTTCAATCAGGGTAATTTGGAGTATCTAAATACATGATCCACTTCATGCTGAACGACTTGTAAAGAAATTTTCTATGCGGAGTACCGAGTGGATGTATAAACATGTCATGGTAGTCCTACATGCAGTATCAGGTGACATCTGTATACATCCCCATGCTTATGTGATTCCTGTTGAGCTTGTACTGACATGGAGGTTCCAACTAGTCCGTGAATGTTGAGCATGTGTGGAGCCTTCAAGCATTTGTGTTCCACAACAGGGTGTTTGAGCAAATATCACTCTGTAACATTGTCTTGGATTTTCAAAAAATGTGACAATGCATTAAAAGTGTCGCACAAATACTGGACACATGATCAGCAAGGGTCAACATTGGTCTGTTGGTGAAGTCCAACTTTGTAAAGAACTGTGGTTGGGTAATCTTATCATTTTAGAAAGCGGTATTTGGGGTTGAAATAATACTGTGCCAGGGAAACGTTTTGGAATAAAACCATCCACAAGTGGCTAAAAAGCGCAGGAAAAAACTCCAAGTATTACACATGCTTCATGTTGTACTCACAAAGAGCTTCCTGTTGATGCATGAAGATGACAGACTCATGAATTGAAACATTCAATCTAAAAGTGCTTGTGGGTAATGCATGGGTAGAAATTAGTCATTTTTTTACCAAGTCTGTGTGGTCTTGGCAAATGCTGAAGTTTCACAAGCACCGGGCACATTAGGGTTTTCAAATCCAAGGCTGCTTGCATTCAACATTGTAAAGATATTAGAGGTTGAATGTGGTAGCCACAAATCATACAGTTATGCCAGTTTAAATCAAGTCTATGCATCATTGGGTCTTGAGTAACAGTGTATGTCATCGGGCTACCCTGAATCTCTTTTGAACAACACTTGACCATGGAGCCAGGCAAGTCATCATGTAAACAGCGTTGTAATTGAGTGTGTCACAGGTCATTTAGTCTGTCGTCAAGTTGCGACCTATTCAGGTGAATGATAACACAAGCATTGCTTTATCACATGGCTTGCTACTTGGGAGTGGACTTTTGAATTGATTTGTAAAAAAGTAAATACTTTGGCTTCTGATGGACACGTGATGGACCCAACTCCCACACTGGTGCCACCACTGTTGTGATTTCCATGCCAGTTCCATGTTATTCTGATGAAATAAGTCAGACAGTGCAAATTTCATACCTACCAATTGGATCAGGTTCAAAGAATATAACAAAGCTTTGCAGCTGTGTCAGCCTAGGTTAGATGCAAGACTGTAAATCCAAACAAACAAAAACAAAACATGTTTACCATTAAACTCACAGGCTGTGCTGTGTGGAATGGAGAGACTGTATGGAATACAAGATAAATTACTTGATTACATCAATCTTTGAATGCATACTCTATCCACGCCATGACAGGTGTAATCATAGTGGGTCGCATGCCTAATATTTTCAAGTTGCATTAATATACATAAAGGCAGTAGTCCCGTGAGATACCGAGAGTTAAGAATCAGTTTGTCGCCAGAGCCAAAATCCAATTTATTGTTTGAACTGAAAACACCCACAAGTGGATTTTGGATGACTAATGTTTTATTTTTGACTCATTCTTCAAGCATGTTAAGTACTGAGTTGGTTCAAGGTACTTGGCTTTCCTAGGTGATACTACCTATAAAATCAGTGGAGATGTTGTGGTCTCTGCAAATGTTTGACTGAGGGACACAAGCATTGTGATCCATTGGCCAATTGTTGAGCTGCTGGACTTGTGACTACATGCTGGCCTCCACCTTCACCTTGAGGCAACTCATAATTGCTGGATATCAGAACTTCCATTTACAAGGCTCAGTCCTGTAGCAAAATGTGAGGTAACCAGCCATTGTAGTGATTATGTCAAACACTGTGATCACACTATCCATAAAACTTAGGTGCCCTAAATTTTGATGAAAAAATCCAACATGAAGTTTTGCAGACCATTTTAAGACTTCCTCGTAGAGTTTTTGTTTAACTGACTAAATGGGTTGAATTACCTGATTGGAGACCTTTCCTTAAACTGGCTACACCCCTGTTGTTTGATATCGTAAAAAGACATTGCACATTTCTCACACCTCTGATAATATCTCCATCTCTAATAATAGAGTGGGATTGTTTGTAAAAGTTGATTGAGCCCAGCATTTGGGGTGAGATGCATGATTCTGAAGACCAATCTAAAGTTTTTACCATGGGACTCTTTTGTCCATAAATTATGTTTTTAACTCCCCCTAGAATGCCACGAGAGCATGTGTATGCTGCTTTGTGTTCGCCCCATGTGGGCCAGCCATATGTTAAACTTTGTTTTGTGTACAGTATTTATGTATAAAGTTGTGACATGTTACATTTCTTTGAAACCTCCTGTCAAGTCGTAACACACTGTTCAGCTATTTAAAAATGAGGAGGAAGTTCATTTTTGCAAAATACTTATTTTTGAGAAATGATCGTTACAGAATGGAAACGTAGAATGGCAGTGCTATTGTATGTACAGGCCCAATACAGCAAGCCACACAGCTCCTGCAATACTAGAAACAGGACAGCAGAATGTATTGATTAACTAAAAGATACTACAAATCAGGACTAGGTTTACAGAAAAGTTCTGAAATACACCATGATACCACTTAAAGATAACTGATATTGAATTGTTTTGATTTTGGGTCAGCTCAGCAGACATGATACGTTTAAATGAGGCCAAAAATTCTATATCTGCCAAAGATTTCTGCCAAGCATGACCTGGTCTACAAAGCTGTTCTTGGATCAAACACTCAACTAGCCTTGACCAAGGCCGTCTGCCTATGCAGTTCCAGTGGCATGCCTACTCAGTCACCATACATGCATGAAACACACTTCTACATGTATAAAGAGAGTATACAGTAACCACTAACCACTCCCTCCCCCTCATCTGAGTAGATGGCCCATGAAGTCATTTGAGTTTACAGATTGACCAAAAAAAGTACTGGAAATGTGACCAGCATGGCACACTTGTTTGGTCAGTCGGATAACCAGACAGGTACAAATGGGTCCACGCAATGCAGCTATTTTACCAAAATCCTTGGAAACTACCTTTGTATTTCAACTAACCTACTTTACTATTTTAAGAAGAACTTCAAGACATTTTTACTTTTATGCAAACATTAATTTCTGTATTCATGAGCAAAACTGTGATGTCGTCCCAAAGAAAACCCAATGTTGCATTGACTTGTGCACCAAAAACTTCTAGAATTGTGATATTTTGTCTTCTTAAATTTCAATAAGCAAACATTTCTCTGAAATTTGAGAACATTTTGGGTTTACACTTTGAACAGAAAAACCAATAAACTGAACAGTGTCTTCCCCGTATGATATCACAGCAGCAGCAGTCTCAGTTGCCCAGACAAGTATGGACAGTTACATTTTTAACTGTTTTTAAAAAGTGCATTTTTTAAAACTCTTAATCCCAAAAGGAATGTTTAGTAGTTTCTGTACTCTTTATACAAGTATACAGATCCACAAGAAGTGTCTGAGAATAAAATAATCACGGCATGGACCCTTGAACTTTGCTGGTACATGGGTTGTATGTACATGTAGGTGTAGGTGAAGGGAGGAGGCAGGTACCTCAACAGTCAGGCAGCTAGTGAGCTGCATGAGGGATGCAGTTCAAGTGTAGCTAGTCAGGGCATGTTTATGGCAGAGGCTTGCTTAGGAAACTAGTCAGTAGCCTTGGTCCAGGCTTAACCAAACTTGACTGTTTTGACTTGACTGGCTTGTGCAAGTTTTAAAGCACCATATTAAATGTCTTCCAAATGTTGACCAGGCATTTAGTTTGAATGTTATTTCGTAATGGAATATTATTTCATTACAGGGAGCAGATGGAAAAAAAGTTATTTAGGGATGAATGGCTTGATGCATTTCAACCAGACAGTTAATCTGCAAGTAACGAAAAATACCTGACAAGGTAATTATTTGAACTTAATTTGCAAAAGGCACTGGGCTTCATCACACTGAAACGTCACAAATGTTGTAGTCCCAAAATCTGTAGGTCCTTATCAATGCACTGAGCTGACCAACTTGTAAAAAAGAGGTTTAACTTGACATTGGTTACCAGTCAAATATATATATTACATGTACATATTGTACTTGGCTGGTACCCAGTGTATAGTATGTTGAATAATATGGTCGGCTTAGTAGTATTATATAACATTTTCATAAATACCACTAATGCAATGTTATGGATTAGATGTTAGAGCCAACTCTGTCATGTACACATAGCTAAATGTTATTTTATGGCCTGTTGAGCTCTTGAAGAAACCTTTTTTTTCTTTGAGAAATATGTCAAACTAAAAAGATCAATCATTTTGAAAAAAGACAAGTAGGACACCACACATACATTGCAAAACAACTAGGCTAAAAGGTGCACCAACTAGGTATGGAACGAGAAGAGTTCACCACCATCACTGAAGTTGAATTGAAGGAACTTCGAAGTTTTTTTGGCTGCACCTGAATTACTTATTTGGCTGAACAGGATATGACATGAACTGATAAAAACCAACACCTCGTGACTTCATGTTTTTCTCAGACTCATTATTTTAGCTGTGACCAAGTAATCTGGAAGCTGCTCAACTAAGGAGACTTGCTTGGAATCTTGGAACAAGTTTCTGGGCTATATTGGTTGCTAATAGCATGCCTTGGTATTACATGGAACCAATCACAAAGTAAGGCCCAGTCTGTGCTTTCTGTTCATGTAGGTGGGTGGCTTGTTGGTGTCTAACACTAATTGACAGTCTTTGGTGTGTGTTTAAATCAAATGCATTTGCACCTGTTCTGGAGTTGCCTTGACAGTCCTTTCCCATAGATAGAGGGACAGTAATGGATCTTTTTAGTTACTTACAATTCTTGGAAAAGCAGCATTGCACCAGCCAATTCTGTATACATCAAATTATGTTGTTAACTGGTAACCAGTTGACTTGGCTGCAAGTGGTCTTTGTCAAAACCTCTGCAAGTTTATGCTATTTTTATTTAAAGAAATAATTTGGTTCTGATTATTATACATGCAAGTGTTGATTGACGAGTGGTTGAGAATTTACGGTACTATCAGAGTTGTATAATTATATGTCAGTGTAAATGATTTCATGAGGCATAACCCTTCATAGACAATTTATACTCATTTCTTTAACTCTGATGATGGATGCACCCCTTTGAACTTGAGAGGAAAAACAACGAAAACCTCCCCCGTTATTTTCAAACGTTTAATTTCTTAACTTGTATCATAGGCAGGTTTTAACCAGATTTTGCAAATAAACCCCTGTGCGTTATCATGCTACCCTGATTAAACTGTAATATAGACCCAAGTATACCTGGCTTGGGGTAAAGCCCCATATGGCCGGCTGTGTTACACCTGGTTAAAATGTAGAGTAAAACAGTATTTAACCAGGTAATGAGTAACCCATTTATTTAGGTTATGTTTATTTGGTTAAGCTGTAAAGCAGTGTATATTGTAGTGCTCATTAAAATTGAATGTATTAAAACAAGATGTACAAAACTTCTGCATCTTTGTGCGGTGTTCAGTTGTCTATTTTTACCTCTATTCATTGAAACATCTGTGAACTAAGTGCAGCAAGGACGAGAGCAGTAGTTTGACCAACATTGTCCACACAATGGATACGGTAGTTTGGACCATGCTACCGACCACTTAGGGCCTAGGCACAATTACAGTACTGGTCATGTGATTGTCACAGACTTCACATTAGCCTTCACCAGGTTTAGAATGTAGTGGACTTGCATATTGATAACATCAAATCACTTTACTGTGGCACTTTGAATCTACCAGCCGTGTCTCCTGGCGCCCAGGTAAACAAAAGTCTGACTCCCCAATGTGGGGCCTGTTCTTTCTCTGTAGCCTTTTTTCAAGGTGTGGAGAGGAAGGAATTTGGTAATGAGACCCCAAGTGAGTGGTACTCCATCCTTGGTATTGTTGTATTCCCGACGTCCACTGAAGGCTTTTTTGGAAGTTCTTTGCTGTATTTCATTTTCACATTGTGCATGGCATCCCTATGAAGAGATTCACAGTCCTTGACACCAGCATCAACATCACACTAAACTGGTTTGATGACGGTATCTATTTTATTATAAGATCAATGGAACGTGACGAAATATGAATAACTCACAAAAATGAAACAAAAAGTGATTTACTGATCTGTTGGAATGAATAAGGACTGAATAAGTAAAAATCCCCTACCCAGTCGCCTCTAATAAACTGCAGAAATGGACCGTATTCCTGAGCAAGGCATTGTTTGTCTTGTTCCTTGTACCTGTTCTCTGAATTGTTACCTGTTGAGTGGGATGGTATCAAACTATTCATCGGAGTAGATCTAGACAGGTCATAATTTGTCAGGAAATTTTGCTTTATTCCTTCACTGCAAGTTTAACATTACTTTCAATTTATATATATATGTTGGACTTAAGGTTAAATAAGTGAGTAATACATTTTGTCAAACAATGATAAATCGATTTTGACTTGAAATGCACTGTTAATTGTGGTTTACTGAATTTAAGTTTTCAAAAATTGTGCATAGTGAGGGCCTCTTTGTTGCACTCAGATCTGGATCTCGATCAGTGATCCCAACACTGATACCAGTTCACTCAATCCATTAGATGAGTTTTGGTGTCAGTTAACCAATGACAGATCACTGGTCGTGATCTACAGGTAAATTCGTGTGAAACAAACTGACCCCAAGTGTTGCAAAACAAATATTGAACACTCACAAAACTTGTTCCTAGTGCTCTGTACAGCATTGTGTTTTTCAGGGGTGTCACAATTCATGGGGGGAAATGTTCCAACGATCACCTATGGGTGGGGTTCAATCACCTATGGGGAT